CCGATATTTGACCTAGAAGGAAATATTTCGTTCCATCAAAGTTCATCGGTACTTTAGCTCTCTCAGGTCAGTGTTGTTGTACGGCGTGAAGACAGTTGTTCAACAGTACTTGAACGCACATTGAGGATAAATGGAAAGATTACGTAAGCAGTGGCTCTATTCGGCTCTGGACATAGTAGGTATGATAATTAGAGAAAACGGTGGACCTTATTAGATAAATTGGCTAAATATTGGCATAGACCATTTACTCCAGTCCATGAGATTTTCGTGCGAGCCGAGACATGGCAGATATCCACCAATCGGCCTGTATGCAACATGGAATCGGGTCTGTTTTTTTTTCTGCGATCCACTAACCGGTGTAAAAACAGAAATGTTCTGCTTATGCAAACGGCTCAAGGTGGAGATCTCGAGAAACGCACAAGTGATGCTCAGGTATGTTGTTTGCTTGTTGAGATCTCGATCATCACGTTGAGCAGTTTGCATGGGCAGAAAGTCCCTGAGACATCACGGTAATCCAAGTTCCAGCCACAGCGAGTACAGTGCCCAGAGATACAAAGCGTATTTTGCTGAAAAAAGTTCTCTGTCAGCTGGGACGAAGCATCTGGGCAGTCCGGTGCAATGCATATAGAGCATACGAGTGAATAAACTCGTAAAATGCAAGAAAGTTTGGTCAGCATTTAACTGCAATGGCAGCAAATAGCATCCTCAGAGAAAGACCACACAAGGCACCATTGCTTAGATCTATGGACTGATGTTATGATACGTTCACCACAACCTTCCTTCATTGAGTGACGGCTAAAGCGAAGATGGTGAAGCGCTGAGTGAGGAAAAAATATTGCCAATAAGATGGTGCGATCGTCTCTTCTATGTAAAGATCACAAAGGCATTCTGAAAGGACTGTTGTTGAGTAGAGGATGAAATTTCTATTTTGTCACTGTCATAATCACAGTATGCTGAGAGGATGAAAGGTAAGTGCGTTTTGAATGGATGAGTATTTCTTATACCGAGAACCTTCCGCCATCCACTCGTAGATCCCAGAACGAGCACACCGATATCAATCAAGATTTTCATGTCTGAATTATGTCCTCTTGTCTGCCTGTAACTTGCGAGTAGACTTATGTTTTAAAACAATTAAGAACGACACGCAGAGGTATGAAATGAGAGCAAAAGAAGAGTAGCATGTGATGACGATATGTTCAAGCACTTGCAAAAAGTCATAATCAACAATGAGAAAGTAACAGAGGTATATAGGGTTCCAATCCGCATCGTACTGTAAGTCATGATGCATTCTTATTTACTGTAGCGCCCTTAATCTTGGTTTCTGTGGCATCAGGAATATACGACTTGCTGCCTTCCATGCTGTATCTACAGCAAGGTGATGACTCCAACGTGTATTCTCCTATTTCGTTCCCACAGAAGGACGAGAGGCAAGTGCCACTATCGAGGATTTTACCCCCCATCGCTGATATGACACAGGATCCCCGGTACACTCTCTACGAATCATCAGGAAACCAGAAGATTCGATTCAAGAAAGTCAAACATAACCCTTTATCATATATAATATTTCAAACAACGCATAACTCTCCAAAATCACATCCGGACGTATTGCATCGCTCCTCGCTCCTAGGGGGGGGGGCCATTTAAGCAGGCCAACAGCTCAGTGGTATTTCAGCACGTGTTGTGTCAGATGAACCTCGCTGCATTATGTCCTCTAGAATCACCTCCCCGCATCACGTGCGATATGAGCTGGTACTCTTTCTATAATACCAGATAAACAGTAAATGCGTTCATAACCCAGAATATGCCAAATAGCGCGATACATCTCCAAGTCCAGGTTTCACGGCCTGTCGCCTCATAATGTAATATTTCAAAAAGAAGCATCACGGCAAAAAAGCGAATCAGCATCCCGGGGCAGCAAAATTCCAAAGACTGAGAGTAAGCTCCGTGTGCAAAACTACATATCGATAGAAAATCTGTTTATTTATGAGTCGTTAAACATTTTTCACATGGTTAGGGCCCAATGACTAATAAACACTCAGCGGTTTTTGGAAGTTAGGCA